TATAAATAAATATCATAAAAAAATTAAACTTATGAAACCAAATTTTCAGTATAAAGTAAATTGCATTTGGTTAGTAAGTACTCTGGTACACAAGTAATAAACACTCTACTATAAAATGTGTTCTTATTCTTAAAGACCTCCTGATCAGCCTACAAAACCTATTTACAACTGCATTATATTTCTAATACTCAGCTAATCTAAAAATAGGTCCATCATATATCACTTTACTTTGTTTTAGCAAAAGCACCCCAATGTTTATTTAAAAAATTAAAAAGTGAATCCCCAATGTCCTAAGCTACTACAAAAAACAATCACATTATTCTGCCTAGTATTTTATTAAAAAAACAAAAACAAAAAGAGACTTTCATAAACCTACTATTACTACTCTGTATGCCTTTTAACTCTCCTACAGTTGCTAATACTAGAAATACATAGTAAACAATTTGTGACTTTTTCACTATTGCACAGTTTTTACTTTGTACCCTGATTTTTAAATTTATGTTTTAATGTATGTAAAACTGTTTAATCATTTAAATTCAATAATTTAACAAATTCAGAAAAAATCATTTCATAACAATTGTGTTAGTTTCTTAGATATTTTTAATTACACACCATAAATTGTCTATGGTATTTCAAATACCACTAATTTAATATATAAACAAGTAAGTTAAACAGTCTTACTATCACATAAAAAGTAATTATAAGTTAGTCAGATTTGGACAGTCTGTATATACTTTAACTGTATTAAATATTTACTGAATTTATGTATTTTAAAAACTATCATGTAAAAATTATTTTAACCTTCATAATACTGATTATGAAAATGTGCCCAACTCGTTTGTCTGCTCTTGATGATATTTGTTCTGATCTTGTTGCTGTTTAATAAATGCACTCAATCTGTTAAGTAAGAATTGTTTGTCATGTCCTTCTAATACTAACTGATTCTTTAAAACTGTAACCATGTGTTTGTTTGCCACTGACACTGCATAATAATAATATAAAAGCAATGTGAGAATAAGAAATGCTGGCACACCAAATCCAGCAGTACCAAGAAAGTATAAAATAGACTGAAGCCAATCAGGAAATTGTGCAAATATCACAATTAATAATGACCACACAGATTTAAAACCTCTAAATGGTCCACAAGATTTTGATGGCGTTATTTCAGCAATAGAATAACCAATTGGGATTGTAGATAAAAGAAAAGAAAGTAATAAAATCAACATAAAAATTGAATTTGATTTACTTGCTCTGTAAACTCTACTTGATGGAGTACTGTTTACTAAGCAAGCAAATTTTTTAATATAAAACAATAGAAAAGTACCAATTACTGCAACTAAAGGTAATAGAGGTGCAAAAAAAAAGCCAAGCCAGCAGATGGTTTGTAGATAAACAACATCTAACACCTGCTTAGGTAAATCAAATTCTTGTTCTCCAAAGAAACGTAGTACTTTGTTTTCTGTATGTTTTGCTATTAATGACCTAGGAAAATTAACAAAAAATGTCATGAAAAATTGAAGAAAAAGGTCAGTAATGTAGAGTTTAAAGAACTGTTGCCCTACAAATGTTTCCCAACATAACGGTCGTCTACTAGCACTATTAGTACATTCATTATCTGTTACTTCATGTGCAATTAGTCTGTAGAATGATGTGAGTAAGACAACAAGAGAAGAAAGTCGTAGAAACACAGTTCTTAAAAGAGTTATACGTATGACAAATGAAGGACTGTAATTTTCTAGAGTGACTAGATAACGAAATAGAAATGGTACTGCAAAATTTAAGGCAACAATAGATATATATGGTAGAAACTCAAAGAATAAGTGAGTGATTTTATTTAACGAAAAATATTGTGAGTTATAACTTTGATCCATTTGTGGTGTAACTTGATTAAAAGAAAATTGAAATATATAATAAATAAATGTACCACAACCACTTAATATTGTTAAAACAATTAAATTAATAAACAAACGCATAAGAAATAATTTTGTTTTTTCTTCTCTTGTTCGATTTTGTTTTTCTTCCTCTAATCTTTCTGCTTCCAAAAATGCTTTCATTTCATTGTGTAATGCTTTATGCTTTACAACTGCTGATTTTTCATTATGTATACTATAATCCCAACCACCGAAAACTAAATTACAATATTGATAAAATTGACCCTCATTTTCTACTACCCTCTGTTTGAAGCTTCTGGCTGCTGACTTAACAATTGCTATCAAACTAATAATAAATACACCAATAGTGGCACTAATATAAGATAGTGGTAAATTATAAAACATCCCAGAAGTATCATAAGTCAAATGACTATATGCACCATAAAATAATAAACTGTATTCTAAAATACCAGTGCCCTCAACAAAAGCTGCTATGCTACTACTTTCTTGAGTTATATTCCAATATAACTCTGAACAGCAAGATATGCTATGACTGTTATTAGAATTTATGCATGGTTCTTCATCTGGCATATGTAATAGTATTGCAGGTAACACAATAAATAAGAACATAATTGAAAATAAAAGAACATTAAGATACATCAACCATTTGATAAATAAAAAGTATGCTACTATTCCCATTCCAAAATTTCCTCCAATTGTTTTAAGACTATCATTCCATAACTCCATCTTTGAATATGTTTCCTTCATTCTGATACGAAACTGCTGCCAAGCTTTTCTTCGTTGCCATTTTAATTGCTCAAAACCTTGCAATCTCAATTTTGTAGCACTCTGAAATATACATGTGTGTTATATATATTGTAATTCTATTCTTGTTCATATAATTTAAGGATAACATCAACATACTTGTAACTGATTTTTTAATTGTATTTTTTGTGCCATGCACACAGGCATAGCTTTGATTTGCATTATTTCTTCCCAAGTACGTTCTTCATTGGATAAATTTTCAGATAAGTCTGGCAACATAGACACTGCTGCATCATGAATATTTGTTGACATACGTCTTGATGTGGTTGTACCACGAGATCTTGTACTAGTGCGCCTTCTCAATGTTGTCTTTGTATCATTACGTATTCGTTTGGCAGTTGCTATTATCAAAGTATGAAATATATAACATCTTTTTTCATATATAATTTGTATTATTTTTAGACTTACCAACACGAGACTTTTTACTTGGAAGTAAAGTAGCTATATGGGAAGGATCTCTTTGTAATGCCTGCTGTAAATCTGCTTCAATTGCTGCAGGGTAACTTTCCTGATAAAATTCAGCACCTGCCTCTTCCCAGCCTTGTCCTCTATCACAAGCACGTTTTTTTCGTTCTCCTCCTGACATCTTTTGTTTTTATGAGTAATTGTAATTTATGTATGTAATTTCCTATGAAAACCTTGCACCTGAAATAAAGTAAAAATTACTTATGTGTAAATAAATTTCTTAAAATATTTGAGGTTTATCAAAGTCATCATAAAGCACTAAACATACATTGAATTTTTATTGTTTTTATATACTTATTTAATAATTAATATATGTATAAATGGCACGTCTTTCTAAATAAACTATAATTTAAACAAGTTATTAAAATATAATGTTGATAAATTGTGCGTATGTTCGAATATACGTACCTGAGATGAATCAGTCGATCAAGTATTTTGCAATCGTGTCATTGCTCGATGATACATATCGTTGTTTTATACTGGTCGGTAACAGTACTCATGAAAAAATAACGCTTTAACAGACTAAACACTGAACTTTAAAAGTCAGATGATTCATAGATAGCAGCGTTTTGTAAACTATGACGTAGTTGCGCGAAATATTTAAATGTTACATTAAATCACATAAATGTTAAATTTAATATTCCTGTGTGACAAAATTTCTGATTTTTCCAACCGAATAAAGCAAAATAAATGCAACAATTCACCCAAGAAACACTCATCGGCATTTTGTTTTCTCATATATCTAAACTCGTGCAGTTTATAGACGGCTGATAAAAGAACACTGAAGCATGAACCAAAAGAAATATAGAAGGTATCATTCTAGATATGGCTGACAGGAAACTCTAGATTAAATTAATTTTTTATAGATTTTTGCAAAGTGCAGTATACTTTTTCCTATATAATGTATATTTAATAAATATTTCATACAATTAAACAACTTAATTAATAAATTTTGTATTTCCTCACGTATTATATTTTACACTATTATTTTTAACAAATTTTGATTTACAAATTCACAAATTTCAAATACAAGTACATATCTAGAATCACCATTTTGAGCACTATAAAATACCATAGAATAGTGTATAATGATTATTGTGGCTTCTACAAGAATAAATAATTCATGTTTAAAAAATAATATCAATGTTTCTAATTCATTTCTGATATACAATTGACATTGTTACCCAAGTAGCATATATTTATTACATAAAAATTCATTAATATGCTGTAACAAATAAATTACTGTATTGTAAGTTTCTTTTAGCATAATCATATACTTTTATTATAATCGTAATGATATTTTATACAAAATATTTTAGTATTGTTGTCCTCTCCGGCGTCCGCCGCGATTATATCCGCTACGTTGATAGTTATCCGTACCAGAATTGTTGCTACCCTGATTCCACCCTCCCTGAACTCTACCTCCCCTTCTTCTATTACTGGAACCTCCTCTTTCATACTGTTGTGTAGAGCTTGCATTGTTTGAATAGTTGTGCCGATTATCATATCCTAAGTATTTAAATTAATGTTAATTATTAAATTGCATAAATAATTTTGATAACTCTAAAATCTTCCATTTTCCTTTTTTCAAATTTATTACCTCCATCTCTGTTATCTCCATAATTATCATTTCCTCCACCACCATATCCTCCTTGTCCTCCACCACTATATCCTCCTTGTCCTCCACCACTATACCCTCCTTGTCCTCCACCATATCCACCTTCTTGTCCTCCTCCATATCCACCTCCTTGTCTTCCACCATATCCCCCTCCTCCTTGTCCTCCACCATATCCCCCTCCTCCTTGTCCCCCACCATATCCCCCTCCTCCTTGTCCACCACTATATCCTCCACCATATCCTCCTCCTCGTTTTCCTCCTTGTCCACCATATTCACCTCTGTTAGAGGAAAAATTGGAACCTTGGGATCCACCATCTACAAAACCACTATTACCACCATATGAACTTCTATTATCACTGGAATAAGCAGTATTAGAACCCTGAAAACTACTGCCACCTCCACGACCACCTCTGTTTCCACCTCCACCGCCACCGCCACCACGGCCTCCGCTAAAATATTATAAAACTGTACCTTTTTTTTTTTTTTTTTTGAATTACCTTATGTAAAATTATTTTTATTAATTTTCACTAACCGAGAAGTTGAAGGTCCAGGCACTCTCTCTTTTTGCCATGGTGGCATTTCAGGTGGTGGTGGTTCTTGTTCATATGGTCTTCCACCTCTGTCTGGTACAGCTCCTATGATAACTTTGTTAAGTTCACTTTGAGTATTTTTCCTAACACTTGCATTGCTTGTTTTTTCCATTAATGCAATATCATCTCTTGCTGCTAGTAAATCAGCAAATGTAACATTTGGCTCTGCATTCACAAATTGTGTGATATGATCATATTGTTTATTAAATGAACCCTTTTGATCTTTTATACTGTTTGACCACTACATTTAATAATATAAATCATATGTTTGTAAACTTTATTAAATGTAAATAATTTCTCTAACTTTATTTTAAAATTAATCATGTATACTTACTAGAAAAGACTGCATTGTTACATCAAGTCTCTTTAGTAACATATCACGACGTATTCTGTATTCGTCATGTAACTTTTCCTGTATATCTTGGAGATCTTTCCAATCTGTTTCTAAGAATTCGTGAGTAATTAATGGTTGTCCTATAAGTTCAGTAGGAGCTGCTTTTAATACTTCAGTCAACTTCTTCTCCAGCCTTGTAAAAAGCTCCTCAGTAGTAATATGATCTGGTGGTTTTTCAAAGTTTAATGCTATTAACATATCTTTAAGATCTTTAGCTGTACCACTTTCTTCCTATAAATAATATATAGAAATTTATTTGATAATTAAAACTTACCTTGATACTTTGATAATAAAAACTTACAACAACAATAACTTCAGAAGATGAGTTTCCATGTTTTCTAGATTCTAATAATCTGCAAGTCTTTAATTCTGCTCCCAAAAAATCTAATAAGATATATCTATCTTGTTGATTTACCAATCGTTCATTGATATTACCAGTTGTTAATCTTTCATTCATACATCCCAATTCCTTAAGAAAACAGCTTAATTCTAATAAAAAAGAACTAGAATCTTCTGGAGATGCTATTGCATGAATAGTTTCATCCATGTTATTGAAAGTTGCAACTTCATCTGCCAACCATGCTACCAGTTTTGTAAATTCTGGTGATTTTGAGCCTTGTTTTAAGGCCTCTTTAAATTTATTAGGCTCCACCAGCTCTTCATTATATCTACATAATAACAAATTTCATTAATTGATAAAATTAGTAAAGCTAATATGAACAATATTATTGTAAAGAATGCAATGTACACTACTAACTTTACTCGTTTAATTAAAATGAAATGAAATTAAGATGTACAAATCAACAGTTTTTTTAAATATTGTACATTGAGTCTCACTGATTCGTGCCGAATCCTTAGACTAATACACACGCACAGCGGTGGTGATTGTTGTGAAATGGCTTACAAGGGAGAATACCGTTTCACATAGCTCGTACGCCATTCGCCATTTCCCATAGAAGCACCGCCGGTGTGCGTATGTGTGAGTTCTAAGTGTTCGGCAAGAATCGATGAGACTCAGTGTACATGATTATAACCTTTAAATGCTTACCCAAGTTTTTTTATCCTTTCTAGTAACTTCAGTTCCATTTCGGCAAATCTTTAATTCATTCAACAAAAATAATTGTTACAAAATACAGAATGTATTTATGAAATAAAAGTAATATGTACTCACAATAAATTAGAATAAATTACATATGACACCTTTCTTCGCCGTATATGCAGTTAGTGTGCCACGAGATTTCTTGACGTATCAGGCTACGTAATACCTCGAATGAAACAGTAGATGTCGTGTTGCAAGGATAAAATATCGATAAATTTATACTTTTAAAAGTACCTTTTCTAGATAAATGTGATAAAAGATAGAATTGATAAATTTATTGTGTACTTTTACTCCTAAATTTTTTAAAATATCTAATATGAAAAAAATAATTTCATATATTTTATCAG